AGAGCAACTGACGTGCTAGGTGCATTGTCATTTTTTTCATATTTTTTTTATATAATAAAAAACCCAATAATCTGACATGTTTGGATGTTAATGAAGTGTGGTTTCAAATTCACTTTCAAATTCACTTTCTATGCTTTGCAGTGGCTGAAAATGTTGAAAGTTTCTCTTTATTTGCATACTTTTTAATTAATAGACTGGTTTTGCATTTATATCTGTAATCACATATTAAAAGGCCTAGTACTCTTAAACATAACTAGAAAAAATTTCCTTTTTTGCAAGTAGGGCAAGTCCAAGAAAATGTCCCCATGTGGTCCCATACGTAGCGTACCATGTCTTCTTCATCCCAAAGAATAACAAAAATGTGTGTGGGTACAGGTTTTTCCTTTCAGACGCCCAACAGAATACAAGAAACGCACTGATCTATTTGCTTTTTAGAGGGTTCAACTTTGCTGGGACGTAGCGTGTGTGAATTCTTGGACTTGCCCAGTAATAGCCTGATGGAGTACGCATATGGATTGCATTCAGGTTCCATATTAAAATACATGATGTTAGTATCTCACAATTGTTTGTGGTGTGATCATTTTGTGTCAGTCACATTCTGTTGTATTGCATTTTACCTTAAGATGAGTATGTGAGGAAGAGTGTATAGTGTGTGACTTTCTGGTTTGCTCAGAATTGAATGGTTCAAACCCACCATCATCCCTGTCCTGTTACGGATATTCAATCAAACACAATCCAGCCCATGTGTTTATCGGATACCCGATTACCCTATTATCCGTAAACTCCCAGCCCTATACTTTAACGAGGGGGTGGGTCTTAGGTTAGCTGTTGCCTTCAACAAACCTGTTTACATTTTCGATTTTACATGTGGGACCAAAGTAGTTCAAAGAAAATGGGGGGGGGGGGGGGGGGGGCTGGTAACCATCTTCCAACATAGGGGCGCTCTTCAAAACCAATGATTATATGATAAATATGCATTATGTGCCCATTTTCAGGCCGTATTGTATGGGTTTTGGGACTTGCTTTTTGTATTCCTCGTTTATATCAAAAATACCTATACCATTATTGGCATATGGTTACTTCTAAGAAATAGATACTTTAAGGGCATTTTTGTTGTATCTTGAGGGGGCACTTTACTGTTCGAGGGGGCACATTTATGGCCGCAAAAGGGGCACTTGGGAAAATCTGGGGGGGCATGTGCCCGCAAAAGGGGCACTTGGGAGAATCCCCCCCCCCCCCCCCCCCCCCCCCCCGGTTCCGCCGCCCCTGACCAGCGACCGGTGTAGCTAAGGTGTGGGGTGGGGGTGCGCACTTGCCGGCCCCTCCTCAGCCTCGACTCCAGGGGCACGTGCTCGTTCCTTACACTAACCCCTGGCTGTGATGATGACGTAAATGACGCAGATTGGCTATTCACAGCGTACTGCACGCACATTTCGAAGATTGCACGCCGGGCGCGCCCATAATGCGCTCGCGTGCTTTGCACGTAACGTCACGTATAAAAAAAAGAATTATGATTCAAAAGTCGCGATGCCTGTACGATATGGATTATGTCGGCCGCATTTTTCGCTAAAAAAACCCTGCCGGTTGTAAAGGCACGAAAGAGGTACGTACATTTAATACAAATCTTTGCTAATTAACACAACGTCCAAACGCTGTGTTTGAAAGGATTGATTCTTCAAAATCACAACTTTTAACATTTTAAAGATGGCGCCGTGCGTAAAACGGATAAACTGCAGCCCTAATTATAATGTGCCATATTTTGGCACATTTAAATTACACAATTCCAGGGGTTTACGATCGCGCAAGGCATGATGGGAAACAACATGGCGCTGCAATATCGTACCCACGGGGCACGAGGTTGGCCCCTCCTTAATTAAAATCGTCCTCACAGTCTCCCCTCCCCCCAGATGCTACATCCAACAAAATGGAAAATAGGGTTAAATGGAACACAAAGGTGCACTTTTAAGAGTTACATTTAAAAAATACATTGCATGGCCCTGGATGTGCAGTTGGTGACATGTAAAACCTACACAATACATTCAGGGCATTTATGGTGCAGTGCGTTGATCTAGCACTAGTTGCATTTCGTCTTTGTTTTACCCACAAATTTCCCTCAAATTATCAAAACCTTGCTCTCTTCACAAAACGTTCCTGTATTTTTTTTTTCAACATTACCAGCTATTACTTCTACAGGGTAAGTCAGAAGGATGGCCACCCTATTTTGAAAAAAAATATTAAAGATATTTTTTGAAGACAGGGGGTTGAAAATATTACATTTCTGGAAACCACTGTATTTATTGCTGTCATCTGGTGAAATGGGCAACATGATATGACAAAGTTTCTGAAAGTTACAATATTTCCGAAAAAAATAGTGGAAAACAATGTTATATCCACGGAATACCCAATATGCAAAGATGTTGGTTTACAGGCTAGTAGTGAATGACATACACACATGAATGGAATATACAACATTTGCAAACATCGAAAAATAAAACTACCAAGTTTTTACAAAATACCTTACTAGGATGTTGGTAAATGACAGTCTCAAGCATCTTGTAAAATTATGGTACCTGGTGTGAAGTCATTTTTTAGAAAATGGTATTGTTGTATACATTTCCAACGGTAGTTGGCCGACCAGCGTTGGAAAAACCTAACCATTTTTCAACTATTGCTCCAAATTTACCATTTTTTCAGTCCAAATTTTGTTTGCTATTGGTTACATGTTCATGAACGGGTGCAGGCCAGCTAAGACTGGTTCCCCTGCCTTACAATTTTCCATCATCTATAAATTGATCCTTTTTATCTTTTGTGGAGTCAGGGAACCAGACTACTTGAACATTTTTGTTTTTCTTGGTTTTTCCAACTTTTCGAACACAAAACTTCAAAAATGTCAGTGTAACAATATTTGATCTATTATACTAACCCCGACAATTACAGCAAAAGCCAATGATGTACATTCCCTTTAATCATTCTCATTTATGTGAAAGGAATACCAAAATGAGACGGAAAACTGTATTCATGTGAAACGTTTGTAATCTATCAGCTCTGCAATAATCAGAAACATACCGCAAGGATTGACTCAATCGTGTGCAATAGGTGTGAAGTGCACAGATGTGTTTTAGCCTGATTTAAAGGGAATGTTCATTATTGGCTTTTGCTGTAATTGTCGGAAATGAACTATTCAAGGGGTTAGTATAATAGATCAAATATTGTGAAGTTTTGTGTTCGAAAAGGTTGGAAAAACCAAGAAAAACAAAAATGTTCAAGTAGTCTGGTTCCCTGACTCCACAAAAGATAAAATGGATCAATTTATAGATGATGGAAAATTGTAAGGCAAGGGAACCAGTCTAGCTGGCCTGCACCCGTTCATGAACATGTAACCAATAGCAAACAAAATTTGGACTAAAAAATGGTAAATTTGGAGCAGTAGTTGAGAAATAGTTAGGTTTTTCCAATGCTGGTCGGCCGACCAGCGTTGGAAATGTATACAACAATACCATTTTCTCGAAAATGAATTCACACCAGGTGCCATAATTTTACAAGATGCTTAAGACTGTCATTTACCAACATCCTAGTAAGGTATTTCGTAAAAACTTGGTAGTTTTATTTTTCGATGTTTGCAAATGTTGTATATTCCCTTTAATGATCTGTGGACAAAATTGATTTTCGTAAATGTTGAGAAAACCTCTGTATCTCCCGAACCACAAACCAAAATGGATGAAACAAAAATGAGGTGATTACTAAAATCTTGTAGTTTTTGTTTCTGTCTTTAAAATGCTTTATACTTTTATATACTTGTCTTGCCTTTTTACAAGGTACTGATCTTTTTGACTCACCCTGTACAACTTACGTACTCACTAAGGACTGGGCCCTAAAGTACACTTTACTCAGCTGAGTGTTTTGCAATAAACGGCACATAGTTATGGGAAGTATCCTATTGTTAAGGACATTAGGACAGAGTTTATGGGGACTTCCTGCTGCCCCCATAATGTCTTCAATCCCCATAATAACTATCGCTCAACAGGTGTATGCATCCCCACAATTATGGAACAAGACTGTGTGGAGTGTTCAGTGTGGCGTTGATGTACACAGAGGGGAACTGCTTTACATTGCTAGTACCTTTATTACAACTTTTATGCATAATGAAAAGTTTTGGACATTTGCTCATCGCAACACTGCGTGTACACACTCAGTATGGGTGCGCGTGCGTTGTTGAGACACCAAAACAGGCATATCTTTAAAACTGGGCAACGTACAAATCTGGGGTGATCAGAACATGAAAGAAGACATCTTCAGCTTTCTATAGGGATGAAATTTGTCAATGACAATGCTTGGCACATAACGACCATTTTAGTTTGAAAAGACACATCCACGCTTTGTGCTCCTATTCAACAGTGCACATCACGAAGCGTAAACTAGTTTTTTAGCACGCATGTCCTTGTGTTTTTTTACCACAGCGTCAAAACAAAAAGTTCAACAACCTTGGGGTGACAACATTCATAAAGTTGATAAAATTCTCTAAATGCTGATATAAGAAACAAGCTAATTGGACAATAAATTCCGACGACTATTTTGGCTTGAAAAAATATAGCCCGTCAGTGTTTTGATTAGTTAGCCCATGGTTAGCCCACAGTTTAGCCACCCACACACGCGCGCGCGCGTATTATATACATTGTATATAAATGCACGTGCCTATTGTGTAATGTGTGTTCTGTTGTGAGTGTATGCAGCACCCCGCGTATTTGAGCTTTTGTCCGTTTGCCTATATCAACTTTTCATTATGGGTACGGTACAGGTCTGTATTTTTCTGCCCCGCCGGTGAACAACGGTATCCCACAAAACGGAACCCCAGAAGAGAAATTTTAAACAACTTCTCTTGTTTTAATTTGCAAATGATTCAAAGAGAGCCACCGGTATTCATCCCTGCTTATTCCTTCATGGCAAACAACAGTTTATTGAATATCTGATTTGTTTTGTTTTTTTCATTTTTATTCAGTACAGGTTTGAGCTGTGCTTTCCAGTGAACCAAAATGCTCCCCAGCTGCAAAACAGGGCTTCTCATCTTAACCTCACCGATAAACCAACTCATCAAACGAATCAGTCCGATACTGTGCCATATATGCCACCAGTCGCAAATTGGAAACACTCTACGTACAGCTGCATCCTGGCCTTGACCACGAACTGGAAGTGTACAGACAGAGACCGATTCCTGTTACGCAAGATGTCTGCGCAATCATCACTGCTATCTACGTCAAGTCAGCGCAGCTACAAGGGCACGATGTCAGAGTTCTCATAAACAATATAAGTAACCGGTCTGGCACCTTTCCTACCACTAGAATTCTCAAAGGAGAAGTGGGTCTGGTCCTACTGACTGCTCCGCTCCAAACAAACTCCAAGCGTTACTCAAGTCGTGGTTTGTATTCCCAACAAATCCTGCTGTGAAAATCATACCAGAGTCTGTTTGGTTGAACGTTAACAGTTCTCCACCAGTTGATGCTGATGCTAACGAAGTAGACTGTTCGCTGGTTATTAGAGTTACAGAAGCATGGCACTAGGGGAAACATTCGATCGCATCCAAGCTAGACATAAAGTCCTGCTGAGTGAGTCGGCTATCAGAGCAGAAGAGAAGATTACAGTTGGTGTGACAGACATATCCATGCTGCAACGTAAGAACGCATCAAATCAAGTATAAAACAACCTTTATTACATTCTTTCTCTTCATTGGCTGAGAGTAGGTCATAAATGTATAAGTGTTCAGTATTTCATATTAATACAACACCTGAATATATCCCCCTCATCTGATTGCAGGAAAAAACACTACCAGAGTTGATCCAGCCAATGGATGCGTGCATCGCGTCTATCCGTGACTTCATCCACGATATCAAACCACGCATCTTACAGTCAGACTCCATCGTGCCCATCACGGATCCTTACGGCCCCAGCGTGGTGGATCCAGACATGAGGTGCATTGTGGTCAGTGAGGAGACCAAGAAAGGTGGAAATGCTGTCAATAGGGTCAGACAGCAAAAGGTATGTGCCAGCTTGTATGTGTGTATAGGGATTTAGGATCATTTGCTTTTCATGCATTTTGTCTGTTTCCAATAATAACACCACTCAAAATCCAAAGAACTTAGAAGAATGATCAAAACCAAACCTGTTGAAGTTCCAGCTAAGTGCATATATTACAGTTTTTTGAGAAAAATGTCGAAAACCATGCACAACCTTTTGATCACGAAACATGAAAATGCAATCAAGGTAAACCAAAACCAAAATCTGCAACCAAGGTAAAGGGGAAACAAGTTCTTAATTTTTATATACATTGCAGGGATTCAGGAGAGTGCTGACCGAGTTGGGACAAGGTGGGTGCTGGTATTTTGCAACAGGGCAATAGGCAAGCCTGCAGTAAAGCTAAGCGGGCAAAATTCACAGAGTGGAAAACATACTCTCTTTGTTGTTGGATTGAAAATGAGATTTGAAGGTTTGCATGGTGGACATGAACAATGAATGGGAGGTTTGCACCACCTCAGAAATAGCTTCTAATTTTGTTAATCGAATTACACTATAGATGATACGTGACTTAAATGAATAGACAAGCCACATACATGTAAAGCCCGGCCCGATAGGCACAGTAGTGTGCCTGGCCTACAAAAAAATTGGGGGCCTACAAACAATTTGGGACCTACAAAAATACCACAGTGTGCCATAAAACACATGTAGGTCCACCACACACACACACTGACATCTGCAGAGAAAGTTTTAAAAAGCTGTTAAAAAGTTTTAGGGTCTCCCTCTGAATTTTCGATTTAACCAACTGACGCTTGTGCAATGTACACAAGGTTCGACCTTAACTTTCATTTTCACTAGCCAGCCGGGCTACTGAAACAGACTCTTAACTAGCCCGCGGGCATTTTCACTAGGCTAAGCCTGCATATGTTTTTGTCTTTTATAGAGTGTCTCATAAACAGTGACAATGTTCATACATGTAAAACGTATATAGCCTGAAAGTTGACCCCTGGTGGCGAGTTTTTGAAATTATTTTTAGTACATTGATTTCTTTTAAAAAAATCACGAAATTTTACGGAAAAATCGCATGACGTGAAAGAGAAATATCTTGTCAAAAATTGACTTCTCAACTGATTTCTCATCTATTCTGAGGCAACTTTGTCAGTGTTTTTAATACTTTTAAACCAATCTCAAAATTTAGCCATTTAAAACAGTTGATAAATTATACACAAATTGATACAGGGTTGCGTTCTGAATTTCATGATTTATTTCAGTCTTTCTGTCCTTCACCTTTGCCATATCCCAATAATTTGTTTGACTCACCAGCCGGGCTACTTAAGGAATAGTTTGACTATATAGCCCGCTGCTGTTTTAACTAGCATTTGGCTAGCGGGCTGCCGCTAATTTCGAACCCTGTGTACATCATGTAGGCAAACGTGTAGGCATGTAGGTATTTCTGGCATGTTGGAACTTAAACATCAGTGCTGACAACATCAGTATTATTCGGCTCATATTTCAACTCATTGTAATAGCCTTTCTTTTCCAGAAATAGGGGAAAACATAACAATTTGAAAAAATAGAACATGGATTTCTTACCTAATCAGTTACAAATTTTATCAAAAGCCCTGCTTTTGAGTAAGGCATTACCATATTTCTCCAGAAGATTCATCTTTTAATGTTTGTTTGTTTTTTCACAGGCATTGATCGAGAGTTTGGAAGGCAAGTAGGGCAAGCCTTGTCTCAAGCCCCCATTCCCTGCCGACGTTGGCGTCTTTGGCTGTCCGACGACGGTAGCTAATGTGGTGCCAGTGGCTGTAGCCCCGGTGAGATATCACCGATGCAAACCCAAATTACAGGCCCTCGTGCTCGGTAGAGACATGAATGTAAATTTGTCAGCAGCCCATCAGAATAAAGTCAACAGAACCACTTTTTAGTTTGCTGATGATATTTTTCCATTCTGGATTTGTCCCAGTTTGATGTTTTTTGGGCCAAAAATGCCAACTTGAAAACAAAAAGATACCCGAACCACAGTCATATTTGAAATTGGACTTTACAAATGCTGAGCTACGGTGGAAATTATACCAAGTTTTTAGCAACATTCCTTACCCCAGTCTTTTAAAAAAAAACCACTGAGATAATGCAGCCGTGTATATATTGCTACGTTACCAAGCCGTGGCAATTCAAGGCCTAACACACATCTTTCACCTCCCATGGACCAGTTCAAGTCTCTGTGTAGGAATCTTACCATTGGGCATTACTCAAGCATTGGCACGAGTATTGATGGTACCTGGTATGGGCTACAGAATTTGACTGCCCAAATTCAGTGTCTGCTCCTGCGACTTTCGCTGTTCAGCCAGACAGCACTCACAGCTGGTCATGCATAGAAGCATGTGATGAGTGTCAACTACTCAACTCTTTCGTTCATTTTTCAGAGCATTTGTTGCCGGGGCGGCAGCTGGTTTGCCTCCTTCGGCCGGGAGTGCAACTCAGGCACCAAGCTCTTCAACATCTCGGGCAGCGTGGTAAACCCCTTGCACGGTGGAGGAGGAGATGTCCATCCTGCTCCGGGAGCTGATTGAACGCCATGCTGGAGGCGTGATCGGGGGATGGGACAATCTCCTTGGGGTCATCCCAGGGGGGGGGGCTTCGACACCTGTCATTCCCAAAAGGTATGGAGTGCAGACAGGACAAATTTGTCGTTATGATTTGGTTGAATGCTCCGTTGCAGTGCACTTTTTACCACGACCCTTATCAATGCATATTTGTTTCAGCAAAGTTTCAATTTAGAAAACAAGATGTTTTTATGCCTTCTTCCTTTTTATGCCAAAAAATGCAGATTTTCATATTCATGAGCAAACATGCAACATCGTTTGAGGGAGAAGTCCTTTGCGTTCATGGACATCCCCTTAATTCAGACTTAGTCTAGTAGGAATTTCCCTTTGGAACCCCAAATTACACGCGCCAACCACTTCTTTGAGAATCCTGAAAAAGCAAGCCTTAAAAACCTGCAGTTAGCAAAAATTACGTTTGGTTTTATTTCATAGTGTTCAATCCCTAAATTCAACTGTCTACTTTCTTCACCAGCGTATGTAGTGATGTCATGATGGATTTCGATGCTCTGGTTGCTGCCCAGACTGGTCTTGGCACAGCGGCTGTCATTGTCATGGACAAATCAGCCGACATAGTCAAATGCATCGCCAGGCTAATCACCTTTTACAAGCATGAGAGCTGTGGACAGGTACCTCAAACATTAGCTGTTGGCTAGTTGGAGAATATTCTGTATTTTGGCTAGTGTATCAAGCCTTAAGAATATCTTGAAGATATCTGCATTTTAATGGAAAGTTTTGCTGCATACAATCTGCTCATAGCAATTACATAACCTTATTCAGAGTATTCTCCATATCTTCCATTTATGGGGTGCTTGTTTCTGCTTGGCTAGGAAATCCATTTATGGGGAAAGTTGCATTCAGAAAGTGAAAGCCACCACAAGATGTCTTCAGAATATTATTTCAAGTACCTTTTCAAGTATCACTTTTGTGTTTGTAAAAATCCTTTAAACTGTTTGTCTTCAAGTTAATTTGTCTAAAATAATCTAGCAAATATCCTGGAATTAGTCTTATTGAACATGAACAGTATGATACAAAATACTGTAGCATCTAAAATTGCTTTGACTCAAATATTAAAATTGGGTTTGTGTGATTCTACGTTTTCTTTTGAGTACAGTGCACACCGTGCAGGGAGGGAACAGGCTGGATGGAGAAAGTCATGGATCGATTTGGTAAGATCCAACTAATTGATGGAATGAGTTTGTCCTTAAATTCCTCAACAAAATGTTCCCAACTGACTGCTTCATGATCCGCAAAGCCGGTTGAAGAAACTGTGAAATTCACATGTGGAAATCTGTTTCTTCAAATTAGTAACATCCACTGGGATTATCCACTGAGGTGTCCATTGAAGCGATCACATCGCATATGACATATATTCTGTACATATTCCATTTGTCAATAAGCAAGGGCGGATCCAGGGGGGGCCAAAGGGGGTTATGGCCCCCCTCAAAACGAAACCAATTTTTGTTTTTGTTTTTATGTGACATCGCAATAAAGGCAGGCAATGAGTACACCACCATCTTTTCCTCAAAAAAACATTGGTTAAAGTGGTCAGAAATTGCCTCAGATCGCACCACAGAGCATCTAGAATCCAAAAATGAATCGAGTCCAACAAAATCAACATTTGGATTGCATTTTCTTTGTGAGTTGTGTTTTCTCTATTTGGCTCTCTGCCAACTTCCTTCAAATTGAGCTTATGCATAAAATTTGAAACACGCCATATTTTTTTTCCCCACTTTTTGGGGGGACCCAAATTTTTTTTTGGGCCCCCCCCCCAAATTGTGTTCTTGATCCGCCCTTGTCAATAAGGTCTTACTGAAACCATCTACTGTTGAAGGAATGGTGCTGCAAGTGGTAATAACGGTCATTTTAAGGCACTTCATCATGCACACTTTCCAAAGACTTGTGACTTGACTTGAGACACGACCCTGATGCAGAGCTCAAACTGGGAGAAATACAGGAAAGAAAACTGGAGACACGAATGGGAGACATTGTCACAAACGGTCCACCAACTTGGGCTGTCAGCTGCTTTCTTTTTTGTATATTGGCAGTGACTGGCAATGCCAAGCCCGATGAGATTGACATGCTGTATGAGCTGAGCAAGCAGCTTGAAGGGCACACCATTTGTGCGCTAGGTGATGGAGCTGCATGGCCTGTACAGGTATGTGTGAAAATCGGCAGCACTTTCATTACATTTTCATCGAGTTAATGTCCATTTTCATCAGGGGCAAGAATCTTAAAGTATTCATTAAAAAAAAGAGTTTGCGCTTTGTACCACAAACTGAAACAGCAAATTTGGCATGTTTTCTAAAAAAAAAAATTGGCTATGATGCTCTTTTCCTATTCAAGTCAGCCTGAAAGGTTGACTTCTCCGTTGAAGTCCTCAATGCACTGAGGCTTAATATAAATGGCCATAATAGCAAAACCTTTAAGAATTATTATGAAACTTTTTTGGAATGAGCTCATTGTGTGAATTTGTCTTCGTGCATCCCAAGTTTCGAAAAAAGATCAAACATGGAACGGCTGAGATCTTAGGATCTCCTGGCTGTGATATGGAGAAAGCCAGGCTCTGTTGGGTTTAACTCTGTGCCTGGATGCGTCATTTGGCTTCACGGTCTCCAGACCTTTAACAGTGACTTGTTGATTGCCCCTGCAGGGACTCATCCGTCACTACCGTCCGGAGCTGGAGAGAAGGATGCAAGAGTTCCATGAGCAGCAGCAGAAGAAACAGAAGGCTGTGGCTTCATCGTAGCAAGCCGGTCATCCCCAAAGAATGGAAGGAGGATGGATTTACGTGAAATGAAAACCTGGTACCTGGCCTCTATTATGTGGTAGAAAACTGTGGATTGTTCGGATTGGCTCTCAAAGGCTATATCTGGGATATCAAAGCTGTTGTCATACGCCTTCATGTCTAACATTGTCAAGGACATTCTCTTCTTGATATGCTTCAACAGTCGCTTGTATCCCGTGACAAATTTCAAAACAAGGTACAATTACTCTAGTTTATGGACTATAGGACATCACCATGTATATTATCACTAGAAGTAATAAACAGGATTGTTTTCCCTAGTTTCACAACATATTAAAAGTTGAAGTACCAACAAAAGAGGGACAATAGGGGGTCCCTGATTGCAGGCAAATACACACTTGCATGGGTGGGTTGGTTGCTTGGTGGACAGTTTACTCGGCCCATTCTATCTGGCGGTATTATACTGTTTCCATGCCAGGCGTGTATCTCAGCTTTGCAAGTGACCTTCTTTGAAATATCCGTTTCAATGACACTGATGCGCATACGTCTAATTTGCATATTAGATCACGCCACATTGCATTGCAAAATTCGCGTTTGTACGGCTCAGTTGTGCGGTTTGTCGTGAAAGCTGTGATTTCATGTTCACACCACATCCAGTGACAAATTTCAAAATAAGGTACAATTACTCTAGTTTATGGACTATATGACAGCACCATGTATATTATCACTAGAAGTAATAAACAGGATTGTTTTCCTTAGTTTCACAACATATTTTTGAGCATAAATGGTGAAATGTGACTCGTCCAGTTGTCCAACATTTCTATGACTGCATTGATTGGAAGGTCAAAACAATGGCTAAGGCTTTTTTTTGTTGCAGCCATTTTTTAAAAATCATTGGATGCTACCAACAAAAATAGTGGTACAGTTGAAGGTTTCTATGTATTTTCTGACGTATGTACTGCGGACATTCCTTTGTCTTCGTGAACAGTAGCTCAGAAAACGTTTATTGTCAGATCAGTGTCAAGTATTGATCTAAGTAGTACATGTTTAAAAGAGCAATGGGTTATGTAACCTGCTATGTATAAAATCTTTCACAGTTGCTATAAGATACCCCATGTATCGTATATTTCATTATTTTCGAGTTATGACAAAGATGGTTCGTTGTGCACGTGGGCGCACGCACGGTTCTTGTTTAAACTCTCGAGGTGCCGTAACCTGTGTTAACGCATTATCAGTCGTGGGTTGCAACAAAAGTGCTCAAAATGGATGGATGTTGCTTATCAACTATTAAACCTGATGAAGTTTTAGCTCAGTTAATATTGTGCATTCCGAGAAAAACACTATTCTAGGATCTCGTTTTCAATTCAAAATTTGGCTAGTCATGTTTTAAAATGTGCCCTAAATCAGCATTTGGGTCAAGAGAATCATAAACCAGTATTGGCTTTGCACAGGCACCTACCTCACAGCAACAACAGCATTTAAGTTTGAAGTCATATCTCTCTGTCACAATTGAGTGAGAACACGCGCACAAACTCCATTGTACATTAAAAAAAAACATGCATTTTTCTCATAATCCTCCAGGCAAGAAAGGAAAGCCGGTGGAGGTCTTGACCAACTGTTTCCGCATGAAGGCCGCGGATCAGTGGCTTCTGCACCAGTACAGCGTGGACTTCAGCCCCGTTGTGGACAACCCTAGGGCACGTCATGCCCTGCTACGGGCTCACTCTGAGATCCTAGGCACCCCCATGGCCTTTGATGGGATGATGTTGTTCCTGCTTCGAAGGCTTGATGAGCCGGTGAGTAGATGTAAAATGTGTTTTTAACCCTAACCTTCCCAAATCTTTCAAATCCTCTCTGCAAAAAATGGAGGATTTTGCAAGGCTATATGGCAAAAGTATGTCACTGATTTCGAAAAGAAATATTCTTAACATGAGATAAATGCCATATTTCTAGGAACCTCCCTCAATCTTCTAAAATCCTCAGCTGTATAGGAAATCAAAGTTGCATTCTTTGTTCCTGCCCCATGTTATGTGATTTTAGCTGGGCTGTATACCTTCCTCAAAACTAAGGATCTGAGGATCTGAGAGTGACAGGGCTTTCACTACAGGGTAGTAAAAAAAAAAAGAAACCAAAATGTCGGGACTATTGTTTTAGTGAAGTTCTGCATGTAGCACTTTAAAATCTAGCATATTAAAGCCCAATTCATAAGCTTTCTTTTAGTAAAAGAATCATTCAAATTACTCATGTACTTTTCAAGTTACAGAATTTTTTACACAACCATCGTTAAACGTTCTGTTCACGGATCATAAAAAGGTAAGTGTTCTTTTAGTAAAACGAAAACAAATCAGATAGGGATGTGTGTGAATTGTTTTCGTTTTTACTGAAAGAACGCACACTTTTTTGTGATCCGTGGACAGAACTTTAAAACGGTGGTTGGGTTTAAAATTCTGTAACATGTACATGAGCGATTTGAATGATTCTTGTACTAAAAGAAAGCTTCTTAATTTGCCTTTTATACCCTAGATTTTGAAAGTGCAACAAGCAGAACTTCACTGAAACAATAGTCCTGACATTTGGGTTTCATTTTTTGTACTCACACTGTCGAGTTACATACATACATTTCACATATTTTTTGGAAACGATCACTCTCAACACAAGATGCAAAGTTGTAAAGATGTTTTCATGAGATGCATATATATTTTCCATACTTATTTTTGTCTGTTTTGCAAACTCTAGGTGACCAGGTTTCAAACCAAACGCCGTGACTCTGATGACATCATCACCATTACTGTTGCTCTCAAGAATGCGCTGCCTCCTACTTCACCAACCTGCATGCAGGTTTACAACATCATCTTCCGCAAGTATGTTGGCTTTTTTTCATCGTTGCTGAAATTAACCCTAAACCCCCGAGGGTCTTTTTGCTGGGAACCATCCTCAATCCTCCAAAATGTTGCACTTATGTTCAAATGTAGGTTACCCTGCACCTCAATCCTTCTAAATTGTCAGACAAAAAATGCATTCATCCTCAATCCTCCAAAATCATGTGCTAAAACACCATTCATTCTCAATCCTCCCAAATCCTCATGTTTCTCAAACACCATTCATCCTCAAATTATAGGTTTAGCCCTTCACCGACGTTTAAACACTGTATACTCGGTGTGTTACCTCCCGAGTGAAAGTTGGAAAAATCACTCGGGTGGGACTCGAACCCACGATCTCCTGCTTTCTAGTGCAGACGTCTGAGGTCGTGGGTTTGAGTCCCACCCGAGTGATTTTTTCCAACTTTCACTCGGGAGGTAACACACTGAGTATACAGTGTTTAAACGTCGGTGAAGGGCAAAACCTATAATTTAATTTATCACCCTGACGCAAAAATTCCACCATTCATCCTCAATCCTCCAAAAACCATTCAGAGGATTTTGGAGGATTAGGGTTAAAGAACACATGAGACCCAGGGTTTTTATTTAATGGCATACTAAATAATGACCAGCCGTGAAAAGCTGAAACAATCAGTCAGAAATGACTTAGAAATCAATCAGAAATGATTATTTGTATTCTCCTTTGTGAAAAATGACAAATTTGATTGACAAATCTCCAAAACTTTGAAGAAAGTTGAGTCTGTGTGGAAAAGTAGGAAAGTAATTAGTTTGCTGTCATTTTATTTCTGTTTTATGGAAATAATACTTTATTTTGAAAATTATCAACAAGTTGTTAACAGTGACAAAGATGCACCTTTACAATGCCTTCTAAGCTATTTGCACAAAATGTTCAAGTGTTATTTTCATTTCATGGCCTCTTAAAAACAAAGATACAATTTTGCTTATTTGTATATATTTTTTAAGGAATTCAATGAAGCGTAATCTATGCTTGCAATTTTTTATCACATTGTTACTTTCTCTGTTTTAGGATCCTTGGATTGGTTGGCTTTGAGCAGATTGGCCGGAACTATTTCAACCCCAACGCCAAAAGGGAAATCCAGCAACACAAGTAAGTGAAACGATTTGGCTCATGTCTTAAGTTGAACGTAGATGTGAAATATCTGTAGCAGTAGGTCTGCTTGGCTTTGAGTTTCATTAAAAATTGTTTGAAGTGGCTGAGATTGTATATCAATAGACAGAGCCATTAGCAGCAATATGAATGGCCGTTAAATGTGAGAGCCTTTTGTGTGGATTTTGCAAAACATCTTTAATTTTTGCAGGATTGGTAGTAAAGTGAGGAAATTTGACACAGTACTGCACATGTTGGCCCATGTAAACTTGCTATATGTAACCTGCCATATCATAATGAGGAATAACCCCCACCTTTGACTTTCAAGTAACGTACATCATGTTAAAGCGTAAATCATTAGCGTTCAAATGATACCAAATTTATTTCTGTAGCTTAATGTACTCCAAAGATATGTCGCAGGAACTTCAACAGTGTCCCACCGAACTTTACCAACCTCATTTCGAGAAAAACGGCTTTGTAGAAAGAAATGCACATTGCGCTGCAAACGGCAGTGGAAAACGTTCTTCAGTTTCCAACTTTTAGGGATATTTGTTTCCCAACAAAAAGGCATAGTGTGAATCTTGGATAACTTAAAAAACCATTGATTTTGATATGATTTTTTAGTGTATCCAACTTCAGGCGTTGTTGTGGGGGACATTCCTCATTTTGCCACAGTAGGTCACATTTGGCAGATCAAATGTTGACAATGGCAGAAACAAATTAAATTCTGCTTACAAAGTTTCTTAGACTGTTGTTTATTGTGTTGATTGTTCCACTTTCCTTGATGCTCCTTTCTCTCTGTCATTTCTCCCCTCATCCCTTTAGGATCCAGCTCCTGCCCGGTTTCATCACCTCCATCTTGCAGTATGAGCAGGAGGTTCTCCTGATGGCGGACGTCTCTCACAAGATCCTGAGAACGGAGACAGTCTTGGACATGCTGGCTGAGATTGAGCAGACCAAGGGAGCAGGCTGGAGGGATGCGGCCAAGAGAGTACTGGCGGGAGAAATTGTCCTGACCAAGTAAGAGAACAGCATTGTTTGGTTAAGTTTGTTTCAGATCAGGTCTGTTTGGTTGGATTGAGTTAGTTAGGTGTGGTCAAGTTCAGATCCATCAGTTCCATTGGGTTAAGTTTGGTACATACAGGGTGAGTCAAAAAAAAGTAAACACCCAAATGTCAGGACTATTGTTTTCATGAAGTTCTGCATGTGGTACTTTCTAAATCTAGGATGTCAAAGCCTAATTCATAAGCTTTCTTTTAGTACAAGAATCATTCAAATCGCTCTCATACTTTTCAAGTTGCAGATTTTTAAACACAACCAACGCTTTAAAGTTCTGTCCACTGATCACAAACAAGGTGTGCGTTCTTTCACATCCCTATATGTGATTCAGTTTCGTTTTGCTGAAAGAACACTTACCTTTTTGTGATCCATGGACAGAAGTTTAAAACAGTGGTTGTGTTTAAATTTCCCTAACTTGAAAATTGCATGAGTGATTTGAATGATTCTTGTACTCAAAAGAAAGTTTTATATGAATTGGGCTTTCATATCCTAGATTTTGAAAGTGCTATATGCAGAACTTCACTAAAAAAATGATCCCGACATTTGGGTTTCTTTTTCTTTTGACTCACCTTGTATATCAGTTCAGTTCACTTGAGTTTGGTTCTTTTGAGTCCGATGTATTCGGTTCTGTTCGGTTCCGTTCTAATCAGTTTGGTATGGTTGAGATCACAATGGTTTGGTTCGATTCAGTTTGCATCAACTCAGTTGTGTTTGATTTGGTTTGCATCGATTCAGGTCAGTTTCGTTTGTTTGAGTGTGACCTGGTTGAGTTCAGATCTTTTCGGTTTGATTCAGTTTAGTTGAATTGGCTTTGGCTTGATTTGGTTTGGTAGGGTTGGGTTGGCCTAGGTTGAGATCAGTTGGGTTGAGATTATCAATGAATTGATGGTAGTTGGGTTTAGATCAGTTTGGGTGATATAATTAGCGGGTTAGCTACAGGGGGCCATGAGGGCGCGTGGGGGGCATGGGGGCACCCCATAAAAATCCCCCAACCCCCACTGAAAATTTGGCATCCGGAGAAATGCACAGCCATATTTGTTACCATGATTAGCTGGAAAAAAATTAAGTCCCTTTTTTTCTGCGATTTTGTGCATATTTTTTTGCAAAACTTTTTTTTTTGCTAGTGGCTGTTCATTGTAACGTCCCTTAGAAGCGAGTGGCGGTAGTTATTGTCTAATGTACATGTAGCCATGATATACATTTTGAATGCCCCCCCCGATGGGAAGATAGTGTCAAGCCTCCCCCCCCCCCCCCTATTTGGTTGTACAGAGGGCGGGTGTCCAGTGAAAAACCTTGTCTACCTTTGATGAAAACCCTGGCTACGGCATTGGATATTAGTGGATTGAGATAAGTTGGGGATTGAGATCAGTTGGGTTGTGATCGTTCAATTGAGATCAGTTGGGTTGAGATCAGTTGGGTTGAGATCAGTTGATCAGGCATGCAACTTTTCCTCGGATCAGCTGATTTCCTCTTTTTTTTTTACTAGAAAAACACTGTACAAAGTCTTGGAAAGATTTCAATTTCCTCTCTTTTTTTTGTGACTTCCCAGTTGCATGCCTGGTTGATAAGATCAGTGGACCGAGAGAGGTTTGGATATAAAAAGTAACCAAATAAATTCTGGATGGCTGTCATTCAGGTACAACAACAAGACCTACCGAGTGGACGACATCGACTTTAATATCAATCCCATGAACACATTCGACAAGTTGGATGGCACTAAAATAACCTACGCCCAGTACTACCGGGACGCGTACGGGCTAAATATCAGTGATCTAGGACAGCCACTGCTGGTCAGCAATCCAAAGAAAAGGGTGAGTTATTTCAGATCTTATTGAAAGGGCATTATATAACATCCAAGTAAATCCTTGTCATTTGATTAGAGGATTGTAGGTCAAGGGGCATTCAATAAACGAACCATTGCACGGCCTATGTCATAACCATTCATTTTTGGTTCCATTCACCCTGCATTTTTGTCCCATCTCTTTTGATCTATTGCACGCCGCGCGCACTCTACGACGCGCAGCGGCCCGACACTATACAATCTTCGCACTATTTAAACCATTATCATGCATAAAGGCAGTACAAAACTTGCCTTTGAAGTTGATGCAGTTGCATAGATGGGTTTTTTTTTAAATTGGATTAAGAAATTACAATATTGATTTTCATTATGGTCAATGATTTGACTTTTCAACCTCTGTTAGCCTTGACCAAGCTGGAAAAAGTAGTGGATATGGTGCACTTTTGTGAGTTTTGTTTGTTCTTCAAGTCTTATCCTCCAATCGAATGACAAAGATCTAATTGGTTGTTATGCAAAACAAATAATGAATGTCTTGCATTCGTGCAATTGTGAGAATATTTTCATTCGTTGAAAGATGGAGTGTTTCATTCAACTCGGCTTCGCCTCGTTGAATAGAACATTAAATCTGTCACTGTCCTAATTATCTTCACTATAAGGCATGCGTAATACAACTAATGTATCTGTATTTCATAGTCCAAATTTCACACAACACTCGCCCGTCAACCACAAAGTAAGGACCAGGAGCCAGTCCATAATCACAGGCAGATTTATTTGTGTTTTTTTTATTGTAATAGGATCAGCGCCGGGGAATGATTGATCACATCCACCTGATCCCTGAGCTGTGTACCCTGACGGGGCTCAGCGAAGCTATGCGCAGTGATTTCCACGTCATGAAGGACCTGTCTGTGTACACTCGCATCACGCCCAACGTCCGCATGAAAGAGCTGACCAACTTCATCGGCAGCTTTCCCAGGTCAGTAAGGTTTATTTCTCCTTACATCCGAGTCATATAGGCAAAAGACTTGGGCTTGGATTCAGACTCATCATGACTCCGATTTGACACTAATGACTTGTGACTCGTGAGCAGAGAATCATATATTTATTTTCACCAAAAACAAACCATTTAAGCATATTTCTTCCCCCCCCCAAAGTAACATTTCAGTAACACTAAAGAATGTTAAGCACATGAAATGTACCACACCTCACTCCAGGTGGTGTTGCAAATGATGAAAGTTTGTCATTTAATGCACCCCTCCCTATGTCCTGCAACATCTCATATATTACATATCACTTTAATTGTGTCCATTCACATCCATCCATCATCCATCTGTTTATAGTCCCCCCCCCAACTAGAGGGTTGGACTCCATGGTGATCATGTCTACTTGACCCAATCGCTTTCTTCAAATCCATTGATCCATAGAAATTTCATCCATTTTATATAAATGTTACTCAGACTCGAACTAGAATCAAATGACTCGTCGCTTGGACTTGGATTTGGACTCAGCCACGACCCAATTGACTTGAGACTCGGACTCGGACTCGACCCTCAAGTGACTCAACCACAACACTAGAGACATGAAATATAATGTGGACAAATTAACACGTGCTCCTCTCCAATGCCACGCTGCATTTTCCTGCCGCACACATCATACGCGCGGACTCGACCCTGAAGTGACTCAACCACAACACTGGTGACATGAAACATAATAATGTGTATGCTTTACAGAGTGGACTTTTAATATTAGGTTTTGCCCTTCACCGATGTATAAACACTTTATGCTCAGTGCATAGACTTGACCTTTGCTGGTAATTGAAAACATAGCTTGCCAATGGTAAACATGAATGCCACAATCACAAAATATTTGATTCGGGCCCAGGCTGACCTAGAAAAATAATGATTTGTGACCTATGTTCTTAACCTTCTTTCAGGAATCAAGAGGCGAGTACTTACCTGCAAAAGTGGCAGGTGAGCTTTGAAGCTCAGCTAGTCAGGATCAACGCTCGCATCATGGATCGGGAGAAAATCCTCACCGGGCACCAGGGAAAGAATGTGAGTCTAACAAAGAGATTGGGACGTTGAGCTGAAGACCAGTTTATAATTTACATGTAGTTTTTGTGAATGCGAAGTGAATTTGACAACACGAAACATTTGTCGTGAAATTGGCTAGAAAGGTTTATTGGATACTTTCTATTTCCTTTTTTTTTCTTTGGAGCAACAAAATTGTTCATAATAAAGAAGGGTGCCTAAAAACTAACCTTTTGAAGTTTCAGCTTAGCATTTCAGTTGGAATAATTTCTCAGGATATTTGATACCAGTCCTTTCTTCACTTTGAGCAAGGTTTATACTGACATTAAATCAGTAGAAACTTTTTTCTGGGTAATTGATAACAATCCTCAAAGTATTTGAAAAGAAAAAGAACAGGCATTGGAATAATGAGATTTGTGAAATCAGTACTATGTTTCGTTTGCTTATAAATGATCGTTGTCAGCGCTTCTTAAAGGCATAGAGGATTATTTGCATTTGTCTCAAAAGTAACCTTCTGAATTATCATTGAAATGCTTACTTGGATTAAAGATTGTACTGGTACTAAACAATCTGTAAAATTGTTGTGTCTGGCTTGCCGTCATTCAGAAGAAATCAAGAAATGTAGGTGGTTTCCAACGATCAGTCGATTGACTGATTTTTCGGAAAATAAAGAGATCTGTTGACGAAATAGTGTTTGATTATCAAAAGGTTGTGCATGGTTTTTCACTGTTTTCTCGCAAAGTGAAATATCTACAGCTGAAACTTCAACAGCTTTAATTTTGGACAATCTTCTTTGGATTTTGAACAAAATGCATAAAAAGAAAATAATCCTATATGCCTATAAACACCAACAGGAGATTTCCTTGGGTGAGAATGCAGAGTGGAGCAGAGATCTGCGGAAGGATCTGCTGAGCTGTATTGGTCTGCACAACTGGCTGCTGATCTACACAGCGCGTGATAGCAAGAACGCCATGGAGTTCCTAAATGCCTTCAACACTGTGGCGCCACGTTTGGGAATGGAAACCAGACCACCCTTAATGTAAGGCTGTTTACAAGATTGTTAGTCGAGTTATTTGAGTCGAGTCCAACTCCAGGTGTTGAGGCAATTGGGTCGAGTCTGAGTCCAAGTTTGGAAGCAATTGGGTCAAGTCTGAGTCCAAATTTGGAAGCAGTTAGTCTGAATCCAAGTTTTGAAGTGATGGGGTCGAGTCTGGAGTCCAAGCTGGAAGCAATTGGGTCGAGTCTGAGTCAAGGTTTGGAAGCAGTTGGGTCGAGTCTGAGTCAAGGTTTGGAAGCAATTGGGTCGAGTCTGAGTCAAGGTTTGGAAGCAGTTGGGTCGAGTCTGAGTCCAAGTTTGGAAGCAATTGGGTCAAGACTGAGTCCAGGTTTGGAAGCAAGTGGGTCAAGTCTGAGTCCAAGTTTGGAAGCAATTGGAACGAGTCTGAGTCCATGAAGTTTGGAAGCAATTGGGTCGAGTCTGAGTCTGAGTCTCAAGTTGCAAAAAACTGCACTGTGGAGAGCAGTGAAGCATGACTGAATCTGCCTGCTTGCCATGAGCTTAACCACACCAAAACATTGTGCAGGGATTTGAAGTGTTTCCGTACTCCACAGAAGATTGCCTCAAAATATTTTGAAGTGTGGATGCCAACTCGATTGGCTAAAGTGGCTTTGCCAATCTTGAAGGGCTTTAAAGTGCACAATTGATTGCTATCCTTTTTCTCTCTTTCATTATTTGTTTGGTGTTCTTTAGATGTGAGCTACGTGATGACCGCACTGAAAGCTTTATCCGTGCCATCCGACAGAACTTGAGTCCCCAGACACAGATGGTGAGTGTGATTAAAGGCTGCCTTCTCAATTATGACTTGAAAGCCTGTACTCCCATAGCCTTGACCAAGTCTGTCTACTTGTTCCCTGAGAGAGACTGTTTACCATAGCCTGAACTACTTATAATAGTGAGCATATATTTTTCGTCAAGGCTGTCTTTTGCCTCGACTGTTGGGGAAAAGTTAGATATGTGTGTGTGGGGCGTAATTAAGCAAGCAGATAAGCAAGGGGATCGTTGAGGCTACTATGCACGGCGCAGTGTTGTGGCAATTTACAAGTACAGTACAATGGGTACGCAAATCAGGCTAATATATGCTGTACGGTAGCGGCCGCTTGCTACGGGAACAAGAAGACAGACTTGGTCATGATCAAAAGCTAGTATTCCCATCAAATGTCATTGGAAGCTGTTTTTTGAAGTGAACTTGCATGCTCAGTCGCCTCATCGCCTTATTTTCACAAAGCCTAATAAGCACTTTTACCAGCAGTATTCAGAATTTTGTTTACTGTTTTGTTCCATCGTTACCCAGGTTGTGTGTATCCTACCAACTATTCGTAAGGATCGCTACGACGCCATCAAGAAGTTCTGCTGTCTAGAGGCACCGGTACCCAGCCAGTGCATTGTGGGTCGCACTATCAACAAGAAACAGACCGTCATGTCCGTAGCTACCAAGATTGCTATGCAAATCAACTGCAAGATGGGGGGAGAGTTGTGGACAGTTTTAATTCCAGTAAGTCATACAATGGTATTCAATCTCGTGAATATGTATGAGCGTAATGTTCTTTATTCATTTTTTGTAATCATGTCAAAAATATTGACAGTTTTAACGCGAAATTCAAAACAAGGTTTTTTCCCAAATACGTCAATGTTGGCAGTTATTTTATGTTTGTATCCAAATGAGAAATTTTTGGCAAACATTTTCATTGTTAACGGCAGGCTTTGACATGAGTCAATGCCGTCTTAACCTGTTAGTCCCAGTACCGCCCCAAAGCACCCCAGCACTTTGCAGTAAATACAGTGTATTACAGGCAAAAATAAGTGTATTACAATGTTATGTATTTATTACTTAAAGTGCAGTAGATGAATTTGGTGTCTGGTTCCCAGACTGCGGCCTTACTATCATTGCATAAAAAGATAATCAGTGACCAGTCTAATTTCTGGGACACACTACTGACACTAGGGTATGTGTAACTGAGTCACCAAAACATGTTCCAATTTTTAAAGGGGCTTCAGAGAAACCTTTAAAACATGACCATTAATTCAAGTAGAAACTTGCAAAGACAATTTTAAAAAGTGCTCCCAAATTCCTCTGTGTTGGCCATTTGTGAGAAACTGCTTCATTGTTAGCAACATTTTCCGAGTTGTGAAGATATCCTGTATATAGTATGCTCTGTCCCCTAACGACGGGCAGAGCATACTGTCCAAAACGTTGAGTTTCTCCCTGTCACATAGTGCTACCATAAATCTTTATCTCATTGTGAAAATTTGTCAATCGACACAGCCAAATAAAGAGCTGGAGATTCCTTTACATTTGATGTAAATGTTTCACTTTTTTTGCAAGTTAGTTGCTTTGTGCAATTACCGGTACAGTTTTTGAGTTTTTACACAAGTTTTTCCAGTGAATTCATGTATCGATGCATGCTTAATTGCAATACAATGAATTGGTGTTCTACAAAAGTTAAATAGCTTGTCTTTAGCTCATTCTGTCTCCGTTTGTCTTCCCATTTATTACTTTCAGTCCAAAATGTTGATGATGGTGGTAGGAATCGACTCTTATCACGACTCCGCCACTAGAGGGCGCTCTGTCGGTGGCTTTGTCGCTTCCATGAATCATGACCTTAGTAGGTGAGTACACTATTTGGTCATTGTTTCACAGTGTTACTTTTCATGCAGTCGTAAGCCAATTCAGCTGCACAGCTTTAGGAACTTGAGCCTCGTGGTTACTGTAGCTGTACACACGAGGAGCAGACAACATCACTTATAGCATGGACAGTGTCGCTAGCAGAAAGTAAATATCTGCAGGAGTTGTTCTGAATCACGTCCCAATTCCGTGCTGTGGCCTCGTGGTTACAGGCATTACATTCATAGTCTGCGGGTAATTCTGCAGGTTGTGGGTTCGAGTCCAGCCTGGGGTTATGGTGTGCGTGTGCCCTTGGGCAAGGCACTTTGTCACACATTGTTTCTCCCCACCCAGGTGTAAATGGGTACCTGTGAGGGCAGAGATGGTTATTGTGGTTGAATAAGCTTCCTTGCACCTAACAGGTTGCATGGAGCTGTATACTTCCCAGGGAGCTGAGATGGTATTTGGAATGTTTCATGGGCCCAATGAGCAGGGGTAATAATGATGTAGCACCATGAGCACTGGTACCTGGAAGGTACGTGCGCTTTGTAAACACCCACTATTGGTATCATTCTTGGATAAGCTTGATACAATCCAATATCACATCACAGATGCCATGCGCTGAACCGACTAATAATAGCAACCTTGCACGCCTGTGCGTCATGTCAACGCTTGCGCGAACCCATTCATGGATTCGCCAAATTACAAACCAACTACTAACGGAAATTTCCCAAAATGCGTCACTTGACGCATCTTTGGAAATGGCCTTCTTTTATTGTTTTCTTCCAAATGACAGCATGCCAGAAAGAATCATTTCACAGGGAGTCTAGTGCCATTACTATCTCTTTTAAACAATGTGAGCTTTTCAACAATAATTTCATCAGTTACTTTTTGGATAGCTGCAAATGATCTACTCTACCTTCTACTGACAAAATCCTTGTTCAATGTGGAGATCGGACTCGTACCAAAAACCCTGTGAAATAATTCCGCATGAAATTTTGTCACTCTTAAAAAAAAAGTTTTTGAAGGGGATTTAAAAAAGTGTTTTAAAGTGCATTTCATTACGGAATCCAGTTACTAGAAACCAACAAATTGTGCATGCATTTTCTTTGTTTTCTCAAAATGTATCGTATCCACTGAGCTGAAGCTTCAACGAGTTTAGTTGTTATGCACCTTTCTTTAAGATTTTGAGCAATTTTTTTGTTCTTCAAACGGAAAAAATTGCACACAAAAATGATCTTATGGACCTTTTAAAATATCCACTGTCGCTCGCCATGTTATTGTGTTTACAGGTACTTTTCACGATGTACATTCCAGCACACAGGACAGGAGCTCATTGATGGTCTCAAAGTCTGCATGACAAGTAAGTATATGATGGAGCACACATGCTTGGAGGGACAGTTAGTGTGAAATAGCTTAATTTTTCCGTCCCGACTTTGCTTCTATCAGCGTCTCAATTTTGCTTCAAATCTCCATGCTATAGACCATTATCACGTTGCGGTTATCTTGATTTTTCCCCCATTCAAATCAACACAACCAAAGCGAGGCTGGAGGAAAAAATAGTCTGGTTCCTTCTTGCACAAAAAACATTATCATTCAGTACTGTTATTGGATACAGGGAACATGACCGAAATGGTGGCAGCTTGATAAAGGTCCACTGCAATCTGCCAGTCTGCCCCTCCCCTGGTTATGCTGCTGGTCATGACTTTCCCTGCATGTATATTTTTTCGTTTAGGTGCATTGAGGAAGTTTAAAGAAATCAACGGTAAGTTGCCCGAGAGAGTCATCATCTATCGCGATGGCGTCGGCGATGGGCAACTGCCGGCTGTGGTGGAGTATGAACTACCACAAGTGATTGATACCTTCAGAATGATAGGAACAGACTATAGGTAGGTTGAGCACTCTCACTGGTGTTGTAGTTGAGTCCATCGCCAGTCCATCACACAAGCCCAGTCGTAGGTAACAGCATAAATAGTGATATTGGAATGTTTTTTGTAGAGTTCGTTTGAATAGCTTGTGACGTTGCTTGTGACGTTGTTTGTGATGGACTAAACTACAGCGTGTCCCCAAATGCCGCAACATATTTTTGCGAGGCTCTAGCGTCACTTTGGAGCATGTACTGCAATAATTTGTATATAATTTTTAAGCATGGAATCTTAAGTTTATCCCTGGCAAGTATTGGTTTGATTTTCAAAAAAGTTTTGAAATGATTTGTGTTCAAATAAGGCATATCAAAAACAAATTTAACTGATTTCAAGGAAAATCAATCATGCACATTTTTTCTAATGTGGAAATGGTTTGTCATGATGCGACGATCTTGTCGTCTTTTACTTTCTGTGTTTTTTATTCTCTTTGATCCACGTAGACTACACCTTAAAAGAATTCACATTATTATTCTTCGTTTCAAGTTTTATTTTGAAATTTTCAACCTAATGACTCGACTCTACGCGACTCGAGTCACTTCTTTAAAATTACTTGACTCAATTCAAGTCACAAAATTAGGACTCGATACAACTCTGCCAAAAAAATATGTTACATGGTATATCTGTGTTGTTGCCTCAAATTATAAGTTTTGAATCTTTCACATTTTGCTTTTTGACATAGAAGTGCCATTTACTAGTGTCTCAAGTCATGATAGACAAGACTGTGGCAATAAATGTTGTCTTTTATTGTTTGTGTACAGCCCTAAGTGCGCTGTGGTCGTCGTTAAGAAGCGAATCAACAATAGATTTTGCTCCTTGAACCAAGGAAATCTCGTGAACCCATCCCCAGGAACGGTGATCGACTCGGTGGTCACCAAACCAGACTTGTAAGTAAACAACTCACTGGAAAAACATCAAAACAGAAAACAAATTATTATCCCTGTACACTGTAACTAACAAAAACTTAAAAACTTCTGAAAATCATAAGTTTGTTCTGTTATTATAGACTGCTAGTGCAGTGCCCGTTCAAAATGTGCCTGTTTGGAACGGGCAAATTGCTTGGCCTTCGGTAGAACAGCGCGCCATTTCTATCACTCTGACCGGTCTCCATTTTGTGTCCACAGATACGACTTCTTCCTTGTCAGTCAGTCTGTACGCCAGGGCACGGTCACTCCAACCAGTTACAATGTGGATTGGGACAACTCGGGTCTGGCACCAGACAGCATGCAAAGCCTGACCTACAAGCTCACCCATCTGTACTTCAATTGGCCGGTAAGGAGCGGGGCAAGTTATGAATGGCATTCCAAAGCACTGTGACTATCCTGTATATATGGGGGGCTAATCGTCCTTACTCGCAGCATGAGCTGAATTGCAAAGGACGTAGCTACAATGTGGTCTAGCCAAAGGCATGTAAAGGCACCTTATACGCAGCCGCCGTATGACCCATGTCTGACCACGGAGCACAGCAAGAGATCCAATGTGTTGATTTTTGCGGAGGGAGGAAAACTGGAGGTCCTTATGGAAAAAAGATGGCAGACGGCTGCTTCAGTATGTGCAATGTCATAAGACATGTCATGAGGGAACAAAGATGGCAGACTGCTGCTTCAGTACGTGCAATGTCATAAGACACGTCATGAGGGAACAAAGATGGCAGACGACTGCTTCAGTATGTGCAATGTCATAAGACATGTCATGAGGGAACAAAGATGGCAGACGGCTGCTTCAGTATGCGCATGTCATTAGACATGTCATGAGGGAACAAAGATGGCAGACGGCTGCTTCAGTATGTGCATGTCATAAGACATGTCATGAGGGAACAAAGATGGCAGACGGCTGCTTCAGTATGCGCATGTCATTAGACATGTCATGAGGGAACAAAGATGGCAGACTGCTGCTTCAGTACGTGCATGTCATAAGACATGTCATGAGGGAACAAAGATGGCAGACGGCTGCTTCAGTATGGGCCATGTCATATGACACGTCATGAGGGAACAAAGACGGCAGACGGCTGCTTCAGGGGTGCGTTTTGGCGGTCATAACCAAGAATTGGTTCGGTAGTTTCGTGTCGGTGAATTTCTTCAGCAATTTTAATTGGGTTAGAATTACGCATGATCATGTAGTACTCAAATTCCCAAAACAATTAACCACAGAGAAACCACCGAACCAATTCTTGGTTATGACCGCCAAAACGCACCCCTGTATGTGCATGTCATAAGACACGTCATGAGGGAACAAAGATAGCAGACGGCTGCTTCAGTATGTGCGTGTCATATGACACGTCATGAGGGAACAAAGATGGCAGATGGCTGCTTCAGTATGTGCATGTCATAAGACACTTCATGAGGGAACAAAGATGGCAGATGGCTGCTTCAGTATGTGCATGTCATAAGACACTTCATGAGGGAACAAAGATGGCAGATGGCTGCTTCAGTATGTGCAATGTCATAAGACACGTCATGAGGGAACAAAGATGGCAGACGACTGCTTCAGTATGCTCATGTCATAAGACAGTACAGTAATTATAGAGTTCAGTGGTCTAGTTCCATACTCATCTTGTCTGTTTCTTCTGTTGTTTTGCAGGGAACCATTCGTGTACCGGCCCCCTGCCTCTACGCTCACAAGCTGTCTTTCCTTGTTGGCCAAAGCCTGCACAAAGAGCCGCGGATTGAGTTGGCTGACCGGCTGTTCTTCCTATAGGCAGTAAGACCAGGGGTAATATGTAAACAATTGCTTATATATGTTTAATACCAACATTGGCAGTGTTTGCACAAGTGGGACTGACTGTTTTCTGCCGACATCCGCGAATGTTAACAACAAAGGCAAATGGTCTTCCTTATGTCGTATTATCAGAAATTAAACTTTCATGCTGTAACGCTAAAGCTCTATGTTGGAGATATCATCACTGTTTTGCTCACAGAAAAATTTGGAAATTAGCATAAAGAAAGTGACTGGAAAGATTCAAAATAATGTAAATGGGGCACAAAACAGCAATTAATGATTACTTACATCTCTTTCAGTTTGTCAGGTGTAAAAAACCTGAAAACGACTTCATGATGAGGGTTTTGAGGTCACAAGAAGTTAGGTCATTCCATGGGTTGGATGGTCACCATCTCCGATTTTACTTTTAATATTCTTCCATAAGATCCAATTGTTGCGATCTTCCATAAGATCCAGTTGTGGCGATCTTTCATAAGATCCAATTGTTGCGATCTTTCATAAGATCCAATTGTTGCGATCTTCCATAAGATCCAATTGTTGCGATCTTCCATAAGATCCAATCGTTGCGATCTTCCATAAGATCCAATTGTTGCGATCTTCCATAAGATCCAATTGTTGCGATCTTCCATAAGATCCAATTGTTGCGATCTTCCATAAGATCCAATTGTTGCGATCTTCCATAAGATCCAATTGTTGCGATCTTCCATAAGATCCAATTGTTGCGATCTTCCATAAGATCCAATTGTTGCGATCTCCCATACGATCCAATTGTTGTGATCTTCCATAAAATCTAAATGTTGCGATCTTCCGTAAGATTCAATTGTTGCGATCTTCCATACGATCCAATTGTTGCAATATTCCAATTGTTGCAAGTTCAAAAGAAAAGTTAATTAAGAATTTTTTGTTGTAGAATTGTGAACTTGCACAAAATGTAGGCTTGTAGATATTAGGTGAAATTTTTAAACGCGATTTACTTTAAGTTGCACAAGTTTAAAAAACAACACAATTTTCTGAGGTGTCTACAAGTCTTTTCGAAGTGTATAGCAGATACAATGTAGAAAATCCATCATGTGTTTTGTAATTTGACTGAAGCATGACAGCAGTGTTTTATTCATCTTACATCCTGCCAAAATGCCTTTGAACAAAAATAATGACTTTGTTAATCTTAAAAATGTATTTTTTTATACTTACAATTTTCGCTGTTTTACAAAATGTGAATCAGAATTGATGGTACATTTGTTCTAAGAAATGTTAGCTGTAGTGATAGCATGACAAAGGTTGTTTAGGTTCCCAGGCACTTGGACATAGTGCGTTTATTCTGCCATGGTACAACAAGAGTGTAGCCACATTACACACACTGTGTTCATGCGCTGTGCGCACAATATGAATATGTAGTTCCACATTAATATTACAACATCCTCCCCCCTTTGAAAGTACAATGTTGGATTCTAACATTTACTAGACAACTTTCCGCACAGGTTAAAAGTTAATGTGTTAATGTAGTAAGTTACTGAATAAAAATGATGGGTAAATAACAAATAATTGTGTTGCGTCTCTAATTTCTAATGTCTTCACATGTTTCTGGTGGGCTGGAACTTGAACTTCTAAAAACGGCTCTAAACATCAAAAACTGTTAACATGTAACTGTTAAAACTCTTCAACTGTAACTCCAAGTAACAGGTCTATGATTTAACGTTATATCGAAGGGTTACATGCTAGTCAAACTTTCATCGTCATCAAATTCTTGAGGTTAACTACCCTCAGTCGTTTAAGTAATCAAAAGTTTAGATAAAACAACTTGAAAAACGTTTAAACAATGAACACTCTGCAAGTATGATATTGTCATTGGCTTGGGGTATATTGGGTAAGATGGCCTTATTGCTGGATGTATCGCACTGGTCTGCGAATTACTTGGCCTGACCTTGTAGCCTGTGGAGTATCTCCGGTTGCCCTAGCTGCGTTGTCGCTATGATTTGGGAGTTTGTGCTCCGTCTTACTGAGGTCGTTGATTTTCTCAGTGTCTGCAAATCTGACACGCTTGGGAGTGATAAAGCGTCGTGTATCTGTCATCTCTCTGAGGTGGGATCGAGTACGTCTCAATATGCTACCGTTTGGGGTGGCGACTTTATACGACCTCGGCTCTCTACACACGGTTGTCACCTCGCCTGGCAGCCATGCCCGAGAATCCTGATCAAGAATCCGGACCTTCTGCCCAACATGGAGAGGTGGGAGCTCATTGGCTGAGTATCTCCTGTCGTAATCTGCTTTCATTCGGTCACGCCTCTTGTCGTGGGCATCGTTCATTTCCTCGTGTCGTGCCTCAGTGTATGGGCGGCGGCTTGGCAAGCTTGTGCAAGGTGGCCTGCCATACAGAATCTCGGCAGGAGACGGCAGTTTGGAGTCAATGGGAGTAGCTCGCAAGTTCAGAAGTGCTTTGTCAACATTCTTCTTCGACTTTTGGCATCTCTTTATGAGTGTCTTGACCGTCCGCACTGCACGTTCCACGAAACCGTTGGATTGGGGGTATCGGGTTGAAGATGTGATGTGACTTATGCCCCACGAATCACACATGTCCTGGTACAGGGCTCCAACGACCTGTGGGCCATTGTCCGATATTATTTCTGCTGGCGCTCCGAACATGCCAAGTGTGCGGGATGTCACACCAGCTACCGTTCCGCTCTTGGTATCACGCAGCCTGTGGATGACTGGGAACTTCGAGGTATAGTCGATGATCAGAAGAAAGTCATCTCCACCTATTTCAAACAGGTCAGTGCCTAACTTGGTCCATGGGGTGGATGGGATCTCATGGGGATGGAGGGGTTCCTTCTTCTGCTTTGGTTGGTTTTCTTGGCAGTATTCACATGCCCTTACAGCAATGTCGATGTCACGGCTGATGTTTGGCCAGTACACGGTTTCTCGAGCCAAACGTCGTGTTTTTTCGATTCCCATGTGTCCCGTGTGGAGCTGGGCCAGGATGTCTTGTCATAGATCATCAGGGATTACTACCTGTTTCCCTTTGAAGATGACACCCCAGGATATTCCCAGTTCATCTCTGTAGGGCCAGTATGGCCTTGGATCTCTGGGTAGCTCCTTGATTTCGTCAGGCCAGCCGGCATAGATAACTTGGGTAAGGGAACACAGGGTTGGGTCACGCGCAGTCTGCACCTGCAGTTGAGTCTGCTTAGTCTGGCCGAAGTGAAGGAGATCGATGTGCTTGAGCTCTGGTCCTTCAATGACATCTATGCCACCGACCAGTTGGTCAAGGTGTATGTCTTCGTTCTTCTTCGGGTTTGGCAGTCTGCTCAAGGCGTCGGACAAGATCATTGTCGGTCCTGGCTTGTAGTGCACGGTGAAGTTATAGCCTTGCACTTTGATAAGTAGGCGTTGTAACCTTGGTGGTGCACTAGATAGGGGCTTCCTCCAGATCATTTCTAACGGCTTGTGATCTGAGTATACCACAAAGTCCTTCCCGAAGAGGTAGTTGTGGAAACGGGCTATGCCAAACACCAGTGCCAGCGTTTCCCTCTCTATATTGGAGTAATTTTTCTGCGCCGGTAAGAGACTTTTGGATGCAAAGGCAATAGGCTTGCCATGTTGAGTGAGGCACGCTCCCAGCCCTTTCTGTGAAGCGTCAACCTCAAGTACCGTTGGCATCTCAGGGTTGTAGTACTGAAGGCATGCGTCCGCTGTGATCAACAGCTTCAGTGCCTCAAACGCTGCTTGATGGTCCTCCTGCCACACAAAAGGGATGTTTTTCTTGAGAAGATCTCGGAGGATCGCTGCCTTGTCTGCGAGGTTGGGAATATACGCAGACACATATGTGATGAGACCAAGGAATTTTTGGAGGTCTTCCTTGTCCTGGGGGGTGGGGAGGTTGTGTATGTCCTCAACCCGCCCTGGGTCTGGCTGTACCCCGACGTCAGAGTATATGGACCCGAAGAAACTGATCTTCTTTGTCTTAATCCTGCATTTGGTGCTGTTGAATACAAGAACCTCACGTCTGGCAACCTCGAACAGGTTCCTAAGGTTGGCGTCGTGTTCCTCGTCAGTACGGCCGTAAACGACTATGTCGTCAGCTATACAGACACATCCAGGAACTTGGTCAACTATCTCGTCCATGCACTGCTGGAATATATCCTGGCTGATGGCGAGGCCAAATGGTAGACGCTGGAAGCAATACCGTCCGAACGGCGTCCGGAAGGTGGTGAGCTCCTGGGACTTCTCGTCAAGGTGAACGGCCCAGTAACCGGCCTTTGCATCAAGTTTAGAGAAGACTCTGGCTTGGGAAAACTCTGGGTTGAGTTCCTCTAGCGTAGGGATTTTGTGGGGGCACCTGCGCAGGCTTTGGTTGAGACGCTTGGGGTCAAGGCAAACACGAATGGAACCATCTTGCTTGAGGCTCGTGGTGATCGAACTACACCAGTCTGTGTGATACGCCACTCTCCTGATTACCCCCAGCGCCTCCATCTTGTCAATTTCCACTTTCAACTTTGGTTTGAGGTGCACACTGTATTTTCTGGGTGGGTCAATATGGGGTACCGCATCTTCTTTGAGGTACAATGTTGCCCTTCGTTAGAAACTTCCAATGGTGTCAAACTGATCTGGATACGCCTCCATCAGCTGCTCAATTGATTGTACTGACGTCAGTCTGGCAGCATGTATCGTCACGACTCCCATGTCACGGCACATGGGCAGACCTGCAATCACTGGGCCTGTGACGTCGACGACGTAGAATCTGTTCTCTGACCATGTAGGATCTTGGTATCTGCAGAGCAAATCGATGCTGCCCAGACAGGGTATCGGTGTTCCATTATATGCGGTTAACTTGGTTGTCACCGGTTTGACTTGGGATCTCCAAGTGTCTCCATACATCTGTCGTATGGTTCTGAGTGGAAGTGTGTTACCTCCAGCTCCGGTGTCTATCTTGACTTTAAGGCGGTGCTTGCCTTCAAGGTCAGGGCAAACCACATCAAGCATCCTGTAGGCTTCGTTACCCGTGTTATCGTTCTTCTTGTGGAAGTCTGGGACAGTGACAACGTGGAACACTTCCTCGTACACATTGTCCGTGTATTCTAACTGATGGACATCTGTCTCCTGCTCAGTAGTGTTTGGTGTCGATGATTCATCCTTTTTTCGGCCCTTGGGCTTTCGTTGTTGGGGCCTTCTATCCCTGGAGGGACTGCGTCGTCCTCTTCCTGGAGGGACTGCGTCTTCTCCGTGGTGACTTGGATCCTCTGCGTTGTCTGCTTTTAGCTCTCGTCTTTCTGCAACACTTGGACCAGTGCCCTTTCGCTCCAGGATATGTGCTATGCGGCAAATTTCCCCTGATAAACTAAACGGGAAAACTGGGTCGCTTCCGGCCAGTCTGTGGTCGTTGCGAGTACAGTGTGGGCTGGCGCGTATAGGCTATCACGCGTCACGTTGGCCGCTGGTGAACGGGGCTCTTCGCGTGCAGTGTCGGCTCAGTCCGATCGCTGTCGATGTCGGCTGCTGGACATCGATCCGTGCTCTGTCCGTGGCGGTCTTTCGCAGGCGTTTGGCGTTTAGCTAGCACGATGCCTGGTCGCGGCGTATGTGCCACATTTCAGTGTCCACTACCGCTGCCACCATGTAGTGATAGCATGACAAAGGTTGTTTAGGTTCCCAGGCACTTGGACGTAGTGCGTTTATTCTGCCATGGTACAACAAGAGTGTAGCCACATTACAAGGGCGGATCCAGAACACAATTTTGGGGGGGGCCAAAAAAAAATTTGGTTCCTCCCAAAAAGTGGGTCAAAAAAATTACGGCGTGGGGTTCGGGGCCCGCTTAAGGGCCCCGAAAAAAATTTGGATTCTAGATGCTCTGTGGTGTGATCTGAGGCGATTTCTGACCACTTTAACCAATGGTTTTTTTGAGGAAAAGATGGTGGTGTACTCATTGCCTGCCTTTATTGCGATGTCAAAAAGTGGGTCAAAAAAATTACGGCGTGGGGTTCGGGGCCCGCTTAAGGGCCCCGAAATTTTTTTTGGATTCTAGATGCTCTGTGGTGCGATCTGAGGCAATTTCTGACCACTTTAACCAATGTTTTTTTTGAGGAAAAGATGGTGGTGTACTCATTGCCTGCCTTTATTGCGATGTCAAAAAGTGGGTCAAAAAAATTACGGCGTGGGGTTCGGGGCCCACTTAAGGGCCCCGAAATTTTTTTGGGATTCTAGATGCTCTGTGGTGCGATCTGAGGCAATTTCTGACCACTTTAACCAATGGGTTTTTTTTGAGGAAAAGATGGTGGTGTACTCATTGCCTGCCGTTATTGCGATGTCACATAAAAAAAAAAAAAAATTGATTTTTGTTTTTTGGGGGGGCCATGGCCCCCTTTGGCCCCCCCCCCCTGGATCCGCCCTTGCCACATTACACACACTGTGTTCATGCGCTGTGCGCACAATATGAATATGTAGTTCCACATTAATATTACAACATTAGCCATTGCAGATTGAAGTCTAGCAGTGATAGTCAAAGGGGCTTTGAATGAGACTTGAAACATGGACACGTCACTTTGCTCATATGCAGGCTTACAATGTTGCCAAATTTCTGATTGGTATTCTTAACCCAGCCTAGCCCTTACAGAAATGTCCCATGTAATTCCCATGGGAAATTTTCCCATGGGACCCCATGGGAATTGCATGGTGAATTGGACACCATGCAGCATGGGATTTTTCCCATGGGAGTTTTCCCATGGGCTTTTTCCCATGGGAAATTTTGTATGGGCTTTTTCCCATGTATGGTTTCCTTTCATTTCTCAAAAAAATTATTGCTCCCTGGTATTTTTCCATAACAACTTCCTATACATTTTAACCCTGTGTGTTAAAGGGAATATACAACATTTGCAAACATCGAAAAATAAAACTACCAAGTTTTTGCGAAATACCTTAATAGGATGTTGGTAAATGACAGTCTAAAGCATCCTGTAAAATTATGGCACCTGGTATACTGTCATTTTCAAGAAAAGTGGTATTTTTGTATCAATTTCCAACGCTGATCGGCCGATCAGCGTTGGAAACAACTGGCTTTTTTTTCAAATACTGGCCCCAATTGACCATTGCACTTGTTTGCAATCGATTACAAACCTATGAACGGGTACGAGCCAGCTAGACTGGTTCCGTGACCTTACAATTCCCCAATGTATGTAAACTGCTCTGTTTCTTCTTATATGGAGTCAGGGAACCAGACTACAGGAAAATGATCGTTTTTCTTGGTTTTTATAGCATTTTCGAACCCAAACCCTCCAAACAGTCAGTGTAACTATATTTGCTTTATATTTCCAACCCCCCAATTCCATCCATTTCTGAAAATTACAGCAAAAGCAAATGATGTATATTCCCTTTAAGTACTATTCACCAAATAGGTAAAGCACATCACAGAACTCCGATGGGGGTTGTTCCACGTAATAGGAGTGGCTTGTGCACTCTATAACTAAAGTCCATATTATTGCTCCCATACCACTTGTCAAGTTGTACCATGTTATCACAGTGTTCCCAATTTATTTTCTCATAAATGTTTTCAACCATAATAATAAATGAATCAATATTATCCAAAGTTTGAATGACACATTGTCCACATAAAAAAATACTGTATGCATCATTTAACTTCACTTATCAACAGAAAAATTCAAAAATGTGCAATTACAACACTCGTTATTGTAAGAGATTCTCACAAAAATGTCCCATGGTGGTCCCATGGTGTCCCATGGTGTTCCCATGGTGTTCCCATGGTGTCCCATGGTGTTTATCCCATTGTGTTCAATTGGTGAACATCCACAGGAGTTTCCCATGGTCAGCTTAACAAATAGAATTCTTGATAACCTCTATGGCCACAAGGGAAATATTTTTAATTGAATTCAAATTTACAGCTAGGCGAATAAGTAATTAAATCAAAGAAAGGTTTGCCTATAACTTGGGAGTGCAATTGGGTC